AGTGGGATTACTCTTCCTTTAAAAGTATGTATATGTTTTTCTCTCTTTCTGACAATGCCTTTATGAGAGAAAAGGTGTTTGAAGGAGGGAAGTGGGGAGTTTTTGGCATACAACTTTGGAATTCAGAACTTAGCAAAACTTTGGGCTACCTTTAGGGTAGTCGAAAAGGAGAGGGGGAGGAAAGGGGGTAAAATGTCATGTCAGGTTCTCTCAACCTGAATACAGTGACTGGGGAGACAGAAGAACTATATATCCTATCAAAGAACAGGAAGCTGTAGCTGTAAACTTTTTTTTTTGGAATGAATAAGTATTTCATTTCATTATTGCTGACAAAGAAGGTACAAATGCTATTTTTAGATCTGTCTAGGCTCTACCTCTCTTTTGCTACTTAAAAAAAAAAAAAAATCAATGACTGTTTTGGTGCTTAGTATACTATTCTTCATTACCCCTTCTTTTCATTCATTTCTGAGCAGTCCAGCTTCAGGCTTACCTCAGCATCCAAGAATAGTCTTCTACTCCAAACTAGATCTTCACAAAATGATCTCCAACTTCACCTTACATTTCTTTTAATTTCAACAGGTTTCTGGCTGTGTGAAAATGAGCAGTTTAAATTTCCTACCCATTCAGTGGAGCAATTGAAAGCTGTGTTTTTACAATAGATGAAGAGCACAGAAAGAGGCAGAGAGAGAAAAAAAAAGGGTGGAAGGTTCTGCTAAAGGAATCCCTGTAAACTACTGGCTGAAAAGCTGCGGAGGCTTCTGGTTTCCCCTTGATAGCCCATGTTCATGAAGAAGTTCAACTAACAGGGCAATGCCTAGAGAAGGGCAATTATTTGTAGCTAATATCTGTAACTATCTGTAACTATCATTACCTATCATACCTTTGTATGACAGGGTCAGGCACCTAGGAAAGTGTTATGGGCTATATGTTTGTTATGCAATGCAGCAGAGTGTTTAAAAGAAGGAAGCATCCTTCTTTCAGGGCTGAGGGAGGAAAAAGCATGTAGCTAATGGGTGCCTACAGACATTTAGGCAGCCTGTTGGTGAGGCACTCTAACTCATGGTGCTTTACACAAAGTGCCATGAGTTAGAGCACGACTTAACCCAACTAGCCACTTCCCACCAAAATGACACAGATCCATTCATTAGAACTCTCTGGGTCCTGCCCCGCAGCCAGTTTCCTACCCACCTGTCTGTCTTGCAGTTAAACCCACAGTCTTCCAATTTTCTCATGAGAACATCATGGGATACCAGATCAAAAGCTTTTTGGAAGTTGAAGTATATAATGCCAACCTCCTCTCTCTTATCCAGGTGGTGAGTCACCTGATCATAAAAGAAAATGAGGTTGGTAAGACAAGACCTCCCCGAAGAAAGTCATGCTGGCTGTCATTCAGAATCTTACCTTCTACAAGCCTATGGCACATAGACTCCTTAATGAATTTGTCCAGGATTTTCCCTGGGATAGAAGTTAGGCTAATTGGCCTATAGTTTCCCAGATCCTCCCTTCTCCCCTTCTTGAAGATGAGCACAGAATTGGCCCTCATCCAGTCCTCAGAAACCACCCTGGAGCACTATAAGGTTGGAAGAGCTTTGCCAGGGGTTCCACAATTACTTCATCCAGGTCTTTCAGCACTCTCAGATGAAGTTCATTTGGACCTGCTGACTTATATACGTCTAATTTCTTTAATTGATTACACACCAGTTCTATGGCAATAGTAGGAAGGTGGTCATTTGAACCCTGCTCATTCTGTACCCCTGCTGGCGTGATTTTCCCCTTGTCCCGGTGCAAGACCAAGGCAAAGTAGTCATTCAGGAATTCAGTTTTCTCCTGAGTGCCAGTGACTAGCTGTCCTGAGTTGTTGAACAATGGCCCCACACTCCCATTTGTCCATTTGTTTTCCACCTCTTCCCTACATACCTAAAGAAAGACTTCTTGTTGTCCTTGATTCCCGTTGCTAATTTTAGTTCAGTTGCTGCCTTAGCTTTTCTAATCTGATCCCTACAAGTGCAGGCTATGGTTATATAGTCCTCCTTGGTGGCTGTCCCTAGCTTCCATTGAGTGTACACCTCTTTCTTCTTTCTTAAAAGGACCATGATTTCCCTGTTTAGCCAAGAGGGCTTCCCAGCTCTTTTGCTACATTTTCTCTGCATGAGAATGGACTTCCTTTGTGCTTCAAGGATCGTGTTCTTTAGGAACGACCACTCTTCATGAACTCCTTTCGCCTTCAGTCCTTGGCCCCTCAGCACATTCTGTACTAGTGACCTGGGCTTGTTGATGTTTGCATTATTGAAGTCCAAAACTTCAAGCCTGCAATCCAATTGTCTGCCTTGCAACAGACTGTGAATGTAATGGTTTCCTGGTCACTATCACCCAGGCTGCCCTCTATGTTTAAGTCAGTCACCAGCACCAAGTCTAGAAGAGCAATACCTCTCGTTGGCCTGTGCACCTCCCGAGTCAGAAAAAGCTCTTTGATGGAGGTCAGGAAGGACTGCGACCAATCCAACCCAAGAGATGTCTGGATAATTGAAGTTACCCATGATGACCATGTCCCATGCCCGGGCAGCCCCTGTTAGTTCTCAGGTGAACTCTAGATCAAGTTCCTCACCCTGGTTTGGTGGTCTGTAGTATACACCTACAGTTAGATATTGAGGAGTGCTGGACCTGGGTTGAGTCTGCGAGATGCAGCTTTGCTGCAGCTGGAGCTGTGGTGGGGGGCAGGAGAGGGGGGAATGGAGCCCCATCCCCTTGTGGGCCTGATCTGGCTCCCCGCAAGATGCCAAAAAGGGTATTATTCCTCACCCTCTTCCTCCCCATTGCACAAGGAGGAGACTCAGGCCAGCCCCATGAATACCAGCCCAGTTCTGCAAAGATACACGGGATGCAGGCAGAATCATCCACACATAACCCTCACAGGGAACATGGAAAGAAGTTCCCCAAGGTGCTCTGCTCTAGAGAGCTTTCAGCTAATAGCTAATTTAACAAGGGTTAATTTTTTTTTGGTGATCATCCATTTTAAAAGCACTCTGCACCTATAAGCACAAATAACACACCTGAATGTGTGTGAAGTCATGGCTGTAGAGAGCTTTCAAGGACCTCACCATGTGAAAAATGTAACTTGTATAAGCATCCGATGTTGGGCAGGAGAATTGCTCTGTTTGGCCACGTGAAGATGAATGCAGCCATGCTTTGGCTGCTGGCCAGGCTCTGAGCACCAGGATCACCAGTGCTGCAGCCCCAGGAGGCCCCCAGGACCCCAGCTAAGGCTGCTGGGCTTGCCAAAGTGAGCCACTACTTCTTGTCTCCAGGGAAAGAAATGAGCATGCTCATGTGGATGCAGCCTTTGGGTGTTACCCTTGAAGTTTCTGTTTAACCAGTGAATTGTTCCCTAACAAGAGAACTTGAATCAGACTGGGGCAAGGCATTAGTTCCTTCAGAGGTGGATAAGACTGCTCACCAGGAAACACCCAGAAAAATCAGAGTTTACATGGAACTAAAACATGTCTCTAAATTTTATATGTATTCCTAGATACTGAAGCAAATTAGAATATATAATATATATAAAGTCTTAGGAGCAGGATCTGTCTTCATTATGTCTGCGTATATAGCATCTAGTAAAGTGAAACCTATGATTCCTGATTAGTGACTTATAGTTAAAATGGCAATAATAAATACGAAAGAAACTATTTAAAGGAAGGATAGAAGGTCTTTCCAGGTGGAGAGCATATGGAAAGGGTCAGTCACAGGGAAATCTAATTCAATTTTATAACCACTCTTGGTCCCTCATGCCCTCTATGAATCTAAATGTGAATGTCAAAGACATTGAAAGGTAATTTGCTTCTTCAAATCTGTCTGATTTTTCCCTAAATTATTTTTTTTTTCAAATAGCTGCCTTAGCTGTGACACTGATTTGCTTCCCTAATGAATTATGTGTGGCTTGTGTTTGATTTCTTCCAACATCTACTTTGTCCATAGGTTGCTGCTTGATTTTTGCTGGGAAAGCTGTGATCCACAACTTGATTACAACTGGGGTTAATGCTAGAGAGATGCCACATGTATTTTAATTAGTGACAAATCCAAATTAAATTCCAAGATAAAATAGTGTCAAATCTTAACATAGGTCTTCAGGAGTCAATAGTTTAGAGGTTAGCTCTGCTAAAAATGAGAGCTGTTAATGTTAACATTGACTAAAGCTCTGAAGGTAATACTTTTTAGATTATACTATGTGTCACAGTTTTTCTTCTGGCTAGATGTTGTATTTAGTTTCTGGCTTCAGAGCATGCTGAGATAATTGCCTTACTGGCTGTTATAAGAGGAACACTAATTTCTGCCATAGGGTTATATAACAGTGTGTGTGTGTATATACACACACACACTATATATATATATATATATATATAGTCTTCCTCTTATATTGTTTGTTTGTGTGTGTGTGTGTGTGTGTGTATATACTGTGACATATATGTGTGTCTGTATATAGGTATGTATGTGTGTGTTTATAGATCTATCTATCTATCTAGATCTATATGGATATATGTATATATATAGATGTATATGTATGTGTGCATGTGTATGTATATTGTGTACACACATGTACACACATGCAGAGCACATAGCTCCACAATTGGACTCCTTCATCTTTACCTTTAGTATCTTCACTTAATAGTATTATGTCCTATAGATAGTATTACGTCTTATATAAGGAAACTGTGATAAAGGAAACCACGTTTTGTAAACACTACTTTAATTATATTAAGATGTCCACTGGGCAAGAGAAGGCATTTGAGAACGAGAAAATTCCAGCATGATATTTCCTTGTAACAATATTGTACAAGAGTTTGTTTTTATTTGCGGTTATCCTGGATATTATTTGAAATGCTTGTAGCATGTAGTCTATGGTTGGTCTATACAGAGCAAAACAAACTACATTAGGCTGCTAATTATTAATGTTGTATTCATGACTTGGACATGGGGCAAAGGTTCCTTTATTCTGCCTGAGCTCTCTGCAGGAGGACAGTGAGAAGCCAGTCTACCTCCGGTATTCAGAACAAGGTCAGACACAATCACTGTTTGTGAATGCTATATTTTTAGGGGCATTTTACCTGAGATCTGCTCATGGTCCCTGCAGAGGTAGCTGCCTAGAGGAACAGAGAGAGTCAGAGAAAGTTAGGGGTAGAGTTTTTACCCCCATTGAAAGACTGCCAATAGACTTTGCTTGTTGTATAATGCTGGGCCGCCTTAAGGGTTAGAGTTGCAGGAATATTTTCCCTGTGCTCCAATTACCTGTGACCTTTAAAATACACACACACACACACACTAAGATGCCTAAGGAAGGGAGTGATAATTCTTCCAGCTAATTTAGTACTATGTATTTATAAGGTGAAATCAATCTATTATGTACTTCCTTTTTGCGGGGGCAAGGGAATTCAGAAGAGACTTCTACAGAATCTCAGAAATTTAGAGTAACTATGCACTGGGCACATCTACATGATGGTACCGACTCAGTGGTGCACGGTAATTTTTAGCAGCTATGTCGCTGTAGCAATGTGTTATAGCAAGGTAGCTTGTCACTACAGCAATGTCGCATTGGTGTCACGGTTTGTGCCTGCCGATGCTACATCGCCGGAGTGATGAGCTATGTTGCCATAGCTTGTTGCTATGGTGATATAGTGTCTAGTATAGATGCACCCAGTAATTAATAAATATCATGATTGGTTGAATATTTCAGAAGAGTTGGGGGAAGGAATGGGGGCTGGGGCCAGGAGGCTCCCCCCATGGTCCCCTCCCCTCCTCCTTCAGCTCCCCCCAACCTCCTACCTACCTGGCACAAAGCCAGGTCCAGGTTGCTGCAGCTTGCACTGCTGCTTGCCCCACATAGGCAGAGGCAGCATGCTTCTGCACTGGGGCAAGGGCCAGACATAGAGCTGCTCTGGCTGGCTACCAGAGCACCTCCGTGGAGGACCAAGCCTCCGGTTGTCTCAGGGCATGATCCCGGACCATGCCCTGCCCCTGGATATCCAGGGGTCTAATTTTGCCCCCGCACTGCAAATTTCAGTTGAAAAGCTGCAAGAGGCATATGCATGCTCATCTGGATGTGACCAAAAAGTCAATTTAAATAACCAGTTTTGTAGGTATTCAGGATGTTTAATTTGTCCAAAAAATGGTGCAACCAATCTGAGTTACTTCACCATAAGAAGTGCACTAATTTAGAGTGAGACCAGGTTAACCTGATCTACCAATCAAATGTAGGCATTTGCAGCATAGCCCCAGGGAAGGAAAAACTCAGCTTCTAACCCCTACCCTGGGATTGTGCTAATTCCATCCCCCTGACCTCGACTGGGGTATTTTTAGTACCCCAATCTCTCCACAAACCCACAAGCTCCCCCAATCCCACCAATCCCCCTCTAGACCTGCCAAACTCCATGAAGACCCACCAACCAACTTGCAATCCCACACACCTCCATCACCATGAATTATTTACTTTGGGATCCCTGCATAGCTCCCAGGAGCAGTGAACTGCTACATGCATTGTTTCCAATCTATGTCTAGATGGTTTAAAGTAGATGGTTTAAAGTAGATGGTTTAAAGTTCGCCAGTTGTGGTGAACACTTGTTCAGGGTTGGGGTGAGCAGCTGGGCTTTCCCATCCCCAGGGAAGCGTGTGAATGTCTACATGTGTCTGGGAGATCAGGTTAATCTGATTTTAATCTAAATTAGTGGACTTCTCAAGGTGACCTAACTCATACTGGATGCACCATATTTGGCCAAATTATAGCTCCTGAATGCCTGTGTGATGAGGCATTTACATTGACCTAGCCCTGAGTGATATGTCTGAGGGCCTTCCTATCAGTTTCTTAGTTACTTCCTGTGGTGGGCCAGTAGGGAGAGCTCCTGCGTTGAGCCTCCCACCTCACTACGCCCGTCCACCTTCCGGACTCCACGTGACTTCCCGGGGCGCTTAAGCCCTGGCAGACCCGCTTTTGAGGCCCACCACAGAATCCAGGGGTAACTGGACCCTGTCCAGGGGTAACAGGCTGCCACCACCCTGAGAGGGAAACTTTTAAGTTCTGTGTCCTCAGGGAAATACAGGCCTAATAGTTCTATGGGTACTTGACCCAATACAAGCACTTGGGGCACCTCCCCAAGTTGGGGGCCAAAAAGGATGGTCTCCCTTAGTCCACAGACCTAAGGGGCCTCCTAGGCATAATTAAACCCACCCCTCAATAAGTCTCCTACACCAGTTACAAAGGAGAACTTTATTGGGTACAAGGGGTAGGGTTAGAATAGGGTACAGGGTAGAGCAAACTCCTGTGGCTGGGGTAGCCTTTCATCTCACATTTGAGTTACTGCAAGCTATATAACTAGTTGGATTTCAGTTAGCTTACTTACAAGTATTATCCAGAGGCTGTTGGAGATTCCCTCTGGAGACAAGCAGTTTCTTGATCATAAGTTTTGAGAGAGAGAGCAAGTTTCACATGGTACAGCTCTTTTTTGTTTTTGAGTATCCCCCATGGCTGCTGCCTCCTCTTCCTGGGCAGTCCTTAATTTATATAGCCCTTGTGACCTCATTTACCTGGTCCAATGGAGGCCAGCACCTGTTGGCTGTCAGCCAACCAATTTGAAATACATCACTAGTTGCCGTGCAGACTCTAGCCCACCAGGAAGGAAGCCCCTCACTCAGGTATGTGATAGTAGTTACATAGGCAGAGAGAGCAGGTTTCCCCCCTCCCTCAGGAATGTATTAAGCTTAGGTTACCTAAAGAAATAGGGTAAGGATGTGTCTCTCTGCCAGGCCCATCCTAATCAAAATTGTCACAGGGCAGAGTTTTTTGGGGGAGAAACAAATGTGGCTTTCTGCCACACTCCCCCCCACCCCCCCTTAAAAGCTTGGACACCTTAGCTTTACAGAGCTATACGGCATGAGTGTGTTTCATTTGGAAGGGTTACCTTTTACACCTAAAGAGAGATTACACAAGACATAAGACTAGTCATAACAATAATACATATAGAACATGAAAGCACATTAAGGAACTCCCACACCAGAGCTCAGTCAGGTGGGTCTGAGTTCGTTCAACCCACTACCCAGAATCTTTTTGTGACAGGGCATCCACTATCACATTTTGGCTTCCCTTGATGTATTTGACAATGAAGTTGAACTTCTGAAGCTGCCAGGCCAATCGTCGAAGCTTGGCATTGGTGTTTTGCATTGTTTGCAACCACTGCAGCGGGGCATGGTCTGATAGGACAGTGAACTGCTTCCTCCACAAATAAGGCCTCAGCTTGTTTAGTGCCCAGACAATTGCCAAACACTTCTTTTTGATGGATGACATGTTTAGCTTCTGAGGGATTAACTTCCGGCTTAAATACACCATGGGGTGCCGTGTTTCTTGGTGCTTTTGTAGGAGTACAGCTCCTGGTCCTGAGTTGGAGGCATCAGTGGCTACGTAGAAGGGTTTATCATAGAATCATAGAAGTAGGGTCAGAAGGGACCTTGTAAATCTTCAAAGTCCGACGCCCTGCCTGGGCAGGAGGAAAACTGGGCTCAAATGACCCCAGCCACGTAGGCATCAAGCCGCTTCTTAAAGACCCCCAGGGTAGGAGCCAGCACTACTTCCCTTGGAAGTTGGTTCCAGATCCTAGCCGCCCTAACTGTGAAGTAGTTCTTACAGAGGTCTAATCTAAACCTACTCTCCAACAACTTGTGGCCATTATTCCTTGTTATCCTGGGGGAAACAAGGTCTCCTCCAAACCCTTCTGGTCCCCCCTAGTGAGTTTATAGACAGTCACAAGGTCCCCTCTCAGCCTTCTCTTGTGAAGCCTGAACAGGTTTAGTCCCGTAGCCTCTCATTGTAGGGTCTGCCCTGCTGTCCCTGGATCATGCAGGTGGCCCTTCTCTGGACCCTCTCCATGTTGTCCACATCCCTCTTGAAGTCGGGCGCCCAGAACTGGACACAGCATTCCAGCTGTGGCCTGACCAGTGTCGTGTAGAGGGGGAGGATCACCTCCTTGGCCCTACTTGAGATGCACCTGTGGATGCACGATAAGGTCCGGTTAGCCCTGCAGACCGTGACCTCACACTATCGGCCCATGTTCATCTTGGACTGAGCTTTGGGGGACTCCACTGCCCACTTCCCCCCAGGTCGAATATGACCTGTCCACCACCACCCTCTGAATATGACCCTTCAGCCAATTTGCAATCCATTTGACCGTGTAGGCATCAATGCCACAGTCGCCTAGTTTTTTAATGACAATGGGGTGGTCAACAGTGTCAAAGGCCTTGCTGAAGTCCAGAAAGACTACATCCACGGCGACACCTGCATCCAATGCTTTTGTGACCTGATCGTAAAAGGCAATCAGGTTGGTTTGACGTGACCTGCCCCTAATGAAACCGTGCTGGTTGCCCTTGAGCATCATCCCC